ATGACAGCTTAAAAAAGCAATATTTCTACTGAAAAAGCACTTTTTAGAGAGCAATTTATGAGAAACTATTGTACATCCTAATAACAAAGTGGACAACAAAACCTAAATAAAACCGTAATTAAAGAATTCTATTAATTTTTCAGCCTTGCCCTTCTAAATACCACTGATCAAACAAAAAAACCACCCCAATTTTAGTATTTTGCTACACTAAATCTGGCAGCTAATAAACTACAGGTAGTCCTCAACTTAAACAATAGTTTGCTTGTTCAAAGTTACAATGGCACTGAAAAACGTGACTTACGACCGTTTTTCACAGTTATAATCTTTGCAGCATCCCCATGATCATGTGATCAAAATTCAGATGCTTGGCAACTGGTTCATATTTATGACTTGCTGTGTCCCAAGGTCATGTGATCACTTTTTGAGAACTCACAAAGTCAATGGGGAAGCCAAATTCACTTAATAGCCGGGTTACTAACTTATCACCTACAGTGATTCACTTAAGAACTATGGCAAGAAAGGTCGTAAAATGGGGCAAAACTCACAAATGTCTCACATAACAACAAATTTTGGGCTCAATTGTCATAAGTCAAGGACTACCTGTATATTTTCACATGCAATGATAGCAGCCGAGCTATGGTAGTAGGGTGAAGCTTTAGACTAGAGCAGGGGTAGGCAACCTTGGCTCTTTTATGACTCGTGGACTTCAACTCCCAGAATTCCTGAGCAGGAGTCAAAAGAGCCAAGGTTGCCTACCCTGGACTAGAGGTCTCAAATCGCCTGTCTCAAGAAAGCCTCTTCGTATATACCCTAGTTATGCCTCCCATTCTGGTATACCTGCTTGGTACTGTAGTTCACTCTGTGGCTACTTATGTTTCAATGGAATGCCTTTATTGTACTTGGCATCCTATCTGAGAGATAAGGCTCCCATAGCTTTGGCATCTTCTGATTGTGCAACTTTATGTCATGTCCCTAGGGAAATCAATTCTCCTTTGTCAGGAGAATGATCAATTTAAAAAAAAAAAAAAAAAAGAGGGGAAGAGAAATATAAACAACTCTTTTAAACCTTTAAGTTGTTTTAGAGAAAGGGATAATGCTGGATGATTTAGATTCCCCAGCAACATCTAAGAACCTCCAACAGAAAACATGCAGAAAAAATTAAAGCAGATTCTAAGATTGTGAGGAAAAGGGACAAAAGTGACTAGAATTCCGTATGGTATCCATTTCCTCAAAACTTGCAAATGAAATGAATAAATGTAGAGATTGCCATCAGAGACAATATGAATTAAATTAATTAAACCCATCCAATACACTCAATTACTGTAAAATAATACAATTTTAAAGTAGTATGATGCCATCTATTGACTATTTTGGAGTCGAAGTTTGATTCCAAAATTTTGGAGGATTTGCACAGCATCATTTTTAAAGTTTGGGGTTTTTTTACCATAATGCACACAGTTCAAATCCTTTGTTTATACTTTTTAAAAAGTTTCAGGAGAATCTGTTACATATAATGTTGAAATGCCTTTGACTAAATAGTGTGAATATTGTTATGTTTTAGGTTTAAGATCTCATTACGTTTCAGATGAAATTACTCCATTGTTTCATCTGATATCCTTCTACAAGTTAGGGTCAGGAGAAAGATTTCCCATCAATATTCAAATCTCAAATTCTCTAAAATCTGTTGTCTTCCCATTCTGTACACAGATCATATTTATCCGTAACATGTTTAAAATCTGAGATCAAAGAATGGGAGAAAAGGGAAGAATTAGGACTTATAAATTGTAAAATTTAATATTTCTCCAAATATTAAATTAAATATCATTTCTCCACTCCAGGGGCTCAAAGCAATTTTACACAGAACTCCATTTTATACAAGCAGTAAGTAAACAGGGTGATTGGTAGTACCAGCTTGCTTATGTAAAAGTATTCAATTCAAATTGTAATTAAGTTATATCATTGATAGGATCTGAAAGGAAAAAAAAGCGCATTAGCTGCAAATAAATTTAATCCATAAGTTCTATTTTTACGTTGTTCTTGAACATGGACCTTCCTCCTAATACTTTGATGAGATTGAACTAAAGTGGAAAAAAAAGAGGAAAGTGAAGTATTGTATGATTCCACTGATGATGCTGAAGATTTCTCTGAAGAAAATAAAGGAAGCTGTTTTTCTTAAGCTTTAAGATAAAGTCCTACTACAAAACCAATTTTTGACCAATAGGTCTACATATTTATGTCCCAGATTTTTTTATTGGCATGATGTTGTCTTAGCAAGAATTCTATGGATGTTTCTAAACTTTGCAAGGCCTCTAGATGGCGACCTTTATATGTATGTTTCTAGGAGATGAAAGGCTTGGAATTCTACCTGGGATTCTATAATTGGTGTACTGCCATTGGAGCTAGAAATGTGGCAGTAACAAGATAAAAATAATTACCGGTAAACAAAATTTAATACTGAATATTTTAATATTTTGTATCTTAGTTTTTATGTTTGTAAGCCACCCAGAGCCATTTGACAGTGAGATGGATGGCATATAAATTTAATAAAATTTTCTGCCATTTTAGTGGTGCTAAACTTTAGCAGCTTAGATCTGGTATTTTGCAGGTTGGTTATAATTTCACAACAAAACACTATCTTTATGCAGTAGAAAACTCCTTATCTGTGATTTATCAGAAGGAGACTGGCAACACATTTTCTGCCTAACTTAATTTTATTAAAAAGCATATGCTTTTGTGAGCTTCAGTTCACTTCATCAAATAAAATGGAATGGCTCTGTCACTTATAACTGAACATTAAAGTAAGTTGTGGTAGAGTAGAAATATGGAATAGGAAGGAAAGAAGGAATCTTTCTTTCCTATAATTAATTATGGGAACAGTGCTACCCTTAAGGCCATGGTGATAAAGCCAGTGCTTCTTGGTGATCTGGTTCACACTTAATTTTAAGTCATAAAAATAGGTAGTTCAATTTAGAATGATTTTTATTTCCATTTTTTCATATACCTAGTATTTTGTTAGTTCAAAGACAGAAATAGTTTATGCAGTTCAACAGTTGGTGAACAGAACGTTGAGAACAATTGTTAAAAGAAAATCTGATTTGTTCTGAGCTGGAACAAGAAAAAGAATGCAGAACATAGGCAATTGCTTGAAGCAGAGGTGAAGTTTATTTCCAAGAACAGAATAAAGGCCAACTATCAGAGGTGGACACTCTGAGCCCTTTGCCACAACCCCTTTGTATAGAAAAATCTTGTCTTTGAAGCTGGGCAGAAAGAATCCAATAGAAGAGAATATATGTAACTCATGGATGAACTGTGGGCTCTTTGATGCCCTCTGAGTTTGGTTGTTTCCTTGCAGATGTTTCATTACCCAAACTAGGTAACAGCATTGGGGAAGTTACCTAGTTTGGATAATGCAACTAGGTAACATCATAGAGTCAGATACCCTGCTGAACAGTTCTGCTTATTTCCTGCTCAATTAGCATTATAGATAAAAATGGCATTCTCATGGAAGAAAATATATTTTTGTTTATAAATAGGTGAAATCTCTAGCATCCTGAAAGGAAGTTTACCTGAAGGGGCTGCTGCCTTTGACCAATGTCAACCTCATTGTCAAGTTTGTTACCTTTTGTCTTAGTGCAATTTCTCATCTTAGTGCAATTTCTCATCTTTTGCCCTGGAAATGGCCGTGAGGTTGGGACAAGGGAAGACTGAGTGGCAAGGAAGATTTTGACTTCCTTCCCACCCAGCAATAAACATAAAAAATATTGATAAAATGCTTACAATTCTCAATTAGTTTAGCTAAGAGATTTCCTGCTGGAATTGAAGTCCTAACCTATTGGAGAATATCAAGTTGCAGACATCTGATATCATGAAACAAACACTCCATAGGCTGAACTATTGCATGAAGATTTTTTGGTGAGATATGAAATGAAAATAGGATGGAATTGGAAGTTTAAAAGGGGAATCAAAGTAGAACACACTTATGCCACAACATAGTGTACAGTACACCTGCATTGATGGCAGTCTCAGAACTGACCCAATGAATCGGTGGTAAAGATATACACTAATGGTATTTCGGCTGATTAAAGAATTTGCACAATACACTCACCTTCTCAGTTTTCAACTTAAGCTGAGCTATTGACTGCAGGTTTCAAGGAGAGGAAATGTAAGACAGTTATTTTTTTTTAAGCTTAGCATAACATTTCATGCATATAGAATATGCATAATCCCGGAAACAAAATAATTGTATTGTAGTTGTATTGTAATTAAACACTAGTAGTTATGAACACAGTGAGGTCTTTATTCCATTTTCACACACTGCCTTTGTTCCTATGTACTGTTAAGGTATGAAAGCTTGCTTAGTTTATGGTTAAGTGTGAACTTGACGAAAAACATCTGCAAACCATGCTTAAAATGCCAAATGAAGTTATTCAACACTATGCCTAAAAGAAACCACAGTTAGCCAATGTTAGTCACTCATTGAGGAATGATTTGCCAGAAGATCGCTTAACTCTCTGTTCTGTCCTGTCAAAAGATGAAGTTGTTGGGTATGTGTAACCAAGAGAATTGGGGTCTTGATGAATAAAAAATAAAAAATTCTGCTTGCACCCACAAATCCTTGAATAAATCACCGATTGACATGCTCCAAGAAGGTAACTGTGCAGATTTTCTATTCCACCACTGAATTTAAGGTATAAACTAAGGTTTAAACAACCTTCCTTGAAATAACCGAAGCTTCTCAAATAATTAAAACCCTTCAGTACAAGGAAAGCGGGGCCAGCCACTAGAGGATGCTACTCCATCACCGACATCAATGGGCGGTAAAAGAATGAACGTTCAGCTCAGCCTATCAACCGAGCTTTGGTTTCTAGAGACAACCAATGAAAAGCAGCAGGTAAACCCTCATCTAGCCAATTGGCTCTTTTCCTCCGGAGGGGATGTGGGGAAGTATAAGCTCTACCTTTTCCTTTCCATCGTCATTAATCTCATCACTGCAATAGTGGAGGTTAGTTGAGCCAGGGCGGTACTACTTCGGCGTCTTTAACGATGCAACACGGAGCTTCCTCCGGGGCGGGTGGACCTGAATTGTGACGCGGATTGAGTGTTGCAACGTTCTAGAAGTTGTCCCTAACGAGCAAGAAAGGAGGAGTTTTGGATTCGTGGTGGCGGCTACGCTGGGGTTCTGGGAGCCCTGTCCCCTGCTTCCCCCGGCCCCTCTGCCAGCCCTACAAACTTTCAGCCATGCCGTCCAAAGAATGAATTTGGGGGATCACGACCTGCTGTCTGCGCGGGAGCAGTTATTCCACGAGAGGGTCCGAGAGTGTATTGTGAGTACACTGGTTTGTTAATGACAACCCGAATTGGGTCATTGTTTTCTTTCATAAGACTAGAATTTTAGCCTCGTTATCCCCAGTAAATAAGGGACTTGTAGTCCAATACCTTTGAAAAAGGGGAAGGATTCATATTTTATTCCCGTTAATGAAGACAAAAAAATCGACTACGGGGATGGTGGTTTTGTCAAGGCGAGTGGAAGCACTAAGGAAAAAGAGACCAGGAATTTAGAGCTAAAGAGCAGTGAATGCCATTAGCCCTCTTGTTTGATAAAATTACATTCTTCTGTGCTCTTTTACCTAAGGTAATTGAAGAGGAATTAGAAAAAAGCAAGTTATAGCTGAGAACTAACTAGAATTGCTTGCTGCCAGAGTCAAAAGCCAATCCGTATATTTACAACCCTACAATTTGGTGCCCTCCAGATACAGTTATTTTGGACTGCAACACATGGACTATGTTTATGCATTAAATCATGGTTGCCAAAACCAAAAAACCTTATAACTTTAGTGTGTGAATCAGGTCATCGTGTTGCACCATTGTGTTTTTTGGCTAAGCTTGTAGTGTGAAGAATAACCTTGGCTTAATGTTTAGCATTAAGTTTTCTACTAGGTGCCAATTTGGGGAAAACTTTTTAAAGTGTCCATTTCTATTCAGCCTTTCTTCAAGGACCTGACAAGAAGTTCATTTGCTAGTAATGAAAAGAGTAATTAAAAGAGATGATTCTGTAGCTCTTTTCAGCTCTCTATTGCACAAGCTTCTCTCTTTAAATTATATTTTCCCTACTTCATATTGTTTTCAATTGGAAGGAAGGCAGCCAGAGCAAGTTTGGTCTAGTGGCAAAGATACCAAGCTAGAAAGCAGGAGACCCTGAGTTCTAGTCCCACTTTAGGCATGAAAACTGGCTGGATGATTTTGGGCCAGTCACACACACTCAGCCCAACTCGCCTCCCAGGGGTTGTTGTTGAGGAGAAAATAGGAAGAGGAAGTCGTGTTGGATATGTTCGGCCTTGAGTTATTTGTAAAACTAATAAAGGTGCTATACAAATGAATAAATATACCAAGACAGACAAAAAAAAATCTTATGGACTGTCCAGCTTTGCCAACCTGCAGTTGCCATGCCACCTGAAGCCAGGTGGATTTCTTGCCCAATAAATGTGGATGCAATGCATATTTATATATAGGTACAGGATATGACCGGATATATGTGAACTAATTAAAACTAATGGTTAATATTGCCTGCAAAGTAAATGCACTTCTTTCTGAAAAGCATTAGGTAACATCAGTGCTTATATGCGATTATATGTGCACCTGGGAATGAAATGTTCTAGAGAACTCTGGAATAGTCAGTCCCTCTTCTGAGCCACACAGCTTTGGCCATTATAGGAAGGGGGTGGTCTGGCCGTTTTCAGAAACAAATTCTCTGGAATGGTCGTAGTATGGATGTAGTTTGGATTCCTGAATTAACAGGCTTGTTTCAGGATTGGGCCATATCCAAAATGCCACAAAAGCAAATTAACTTCTAGACTACTAGCAGAGCATTTCCAAAATGACAGAATCAGCCTAGACCTGAGGAATAGAGCAGGACACTGCACATCTCCACCTCTCTCTTTCTGGCAGAAGCTTTAAAAAAAGAAGAGAGGAAAATACGGTAAGATGGAGAGGGGTTGAGAGAAAGAGAGAAACCTTGTTTAGAATCTGGAAAAAAGTCAATTCAAGGGGGCAAGCAATCTCTCCATTCCTCCCACTCTTCAGTGGCAATTTGGCAAAATAATTTATATCAGCAGTATGATAGCAATGAAGTATATGAAGTAACAAATTTGTTAAGGTAATTAATAGTGGTTGGACTCGGGTGCCTGGAGGCTTTAGAAGCTGAGGAAAAGTTTGAGGCTGGGACTTTTTAGTTTTAGATTTTTAAAAGTAAATACAACATTTTTCTGTCATCCAAGCGCATGAGACGCTTCAGTAAAACATAAGTAAAACATACACAAGTCTAGTGAGACTTTTGCCTTGGGGAGCTCACTGTCCTGTTTTATATTTGCAAATCTGTTGGATGTGAGGAGCTTTACATGTTACTTTGAAGGTGCACCTAGCTCTTCATAAGCAATTTCAGTTTAATCCTGCTTGCTTCATAAATGTCATTGGAAATTAAGAAATTGTAATGCCCAGAGAGTTGAAATAAGTAGTTATGAAGTTTTGAATGAAAAATTCAAATGTTTAAAATACCTGTCGTCAGGTGGTTCTCAAAAGCAGAAAAGCTGTGGCTTACATGTATATTAATGTGACTTATTAAAGTGGTACATTGCTTCATTCCAAGCTATGTTGATTTTACACATGGCATAGGGCTTTCTAGAAAAAACAGCAGCTTAATCTTTGTGCCTGGTAAAGCTGAGTTTCTGGGTCACTGACTGGGGATTATTGCTATTCTGTTAAAATAATGACAAGCTGAACAAAGGCAAGTTTTTTCTTGCCTATTTTCCTCAATTATATACTTCCTCCTCTACTACCCACTTAACTGTCTACCTACAAAGTACATTATGGGTTCATACTTCACTCTGTGTTTAACTTCCATGAAAGATTGAATGTAGAATTTTGACTTAGGGTGTTGTGAGAACCCAGCCAATTGTAGTTTATTAAGCAATTTATCTAGTTTAATGTCATTTCTTCTCTCTTGATCCAATGTCATGTTTATGGATCAGAGCATTCACTGGTTCATGCAGAGAACTCTGTTTTGATATCAAATGCCCAAGCAGCTAAGTTATATTTCAGAGAGAGGTCCATTGCATTTTTATTTGTACATACTTTTCTGTCCAGAGCAACCATTCTCAAAGCTCACCATGATCTAAACCAGGGGTCCCCAACCCCCGCTCCATGCACCTGTACCGGGCCACAGCATGCTAGCAACCGGGCCGCACAAACAAGCAAAGCCCCATCTGTGGGATGCAGGCAGCACACAAAACCACGCATTCTCAAGTCCATGGAAAAACCTTTCTCCACAGAACCAGTCCCTGGTGCTCCAAAGGTTGGGGACCTTTGGTCTAAACAGGTTATGAGAACCTTGGCAACTCTGATTGGGAGGATGGGAAAGGGGGAATTAGCTTTTCCAGCATGGCTTTGTGTGCCAAAGGTTAATCCAGAGTTCCATCTTTGGAGTCAACACATTAGTAGGCATTTGGAGTTGTGTAACGTCTAGGTGTCTGCTTAGCAGGCAATATATAGTACTCGGAATTATGCAAGGCAAGCATTTAGTCCTCGGTGCCTAGTTGGCATGCATAATGAGTTTTCTGAGTATTATGTTAACCTTGGAGAAATATTAAATCACTGGCATATGTGACAAGGGAGCACTGAGAATTTCAGATCAGAAAGCTCCCTCTTGATCAAGTTCCACCTGGTCCAGCATCTGTTTTTTCAAGATCAAGTACTGTAAATGATTCTGGGAACCACATATGATTCTGTGGTGTCTATTACTTCCCCTGTTGTTGCCAGTTCACCCAGCAATGATACTCAGTACTACCATACCTCTTCTGATCCTGGAACTCTTTACTATCCTGACTAATGAAGTTCATAGACCAATCTTCCATGCATATCTAGTTTCTGAAAATCATGTTCTTTGGTAGCCAATATCTGAGATATAATAATAAAGTTGGAAGGGACCTTGGAAGTCATCTAGTCCAACCCCCTGCTCAGGCAGGAAACCCTATACCATTTCAGACAAATGGCTGTCCAATCTCTTCTTTAAAACCTCCAATATTGGAGCATTCACAGCTTCTGGAGGCAGGTTGTTCCACTGGTTAATTGTTCTAACTGTTAGGAAGTTTCTCCTTAGTTCTAGGTTGTTTCTCTCTTTGGTTAGTTTCCATTCGTTGCTTCTTGTTCTGCTTGCAGGCACTTTGGGGAATAGCTTGACTCCCTCTTCTTTGTGGCAGCCCCTGAGATATTGGAAGACTGCTATCATGTCCCCCCTCGTCCTTCTCTTCATTAAACTAGACATACCCAATTATAGCAACCATTCCTTATATGTATTAACTTGTGGAAGTTAATTCCATCAATAATGCATTATATAAAGGCATACTTTTGAATTATCTGCCAACTGACTTCACTGGCCCTGAAATTACTTGTTTTGAAAAAAAAAAAAAAAATTTTTTAGAAATAATCTATCATGTAACCTTTTATTGGCTGGGTTGATGCACTACGCTAAGTTATGATTTCTTTCTTTAGCTTGTTTTAAAAGCCACAACTGGATAGTCATAGTTAGTTTGAAAAGGCACATTAAGCCATAGTTTAAGATTTATAAACTGAAGGGACTAAACTTAGACACTCTGCTAAGACCAAAAACCATATAACCCGCATACTGAAATGGCTTATTTGGATGTGTGCATCTTGCCATCTTTGTCATGTAAACTAAAGAAATCTGCAGAGATGTATGCTTTTTGCAATAGGGAAAATGTCCCAATTTGTAGATGATTTTGGTGAAATTGAGCATCGAGAACTGAATACCATGGCTAACAACTTTTATACTTGCAAGATCTATAGCAGTGGTGGCGAACCTATGGCACGGGTGCCAGAGATGGCACTCGGAGCCCTCTCTGTGGGCACACATGCCGTTGCCCCAGCCTTGCCTCCGCCCGTGACCCCCTCCTCACCAGTAGCCTCCCTGGAGGAGAGTCGCCCCTGAGCGTGGCCCAAACGGAGCAGCGCAGCCAAAAACATGGCAGCCAGGCAGCGTAGACAAGACTCTGCCCTCACGCCCCAATGCGCACAGTTGATGCTGCAGGGCGTGGGCAGAGGGTGTGGCCGCCATGGTGCTGCTGGGCTGCTTGGGCGATCGGCGGACCCTGGAGGCGGTGAGTGGCCCTGCGGGCAGGCAGGGCAGGGACGGGGCCAGTTTTTGGGCACTCGGTCTCTAAAAGGTTTGCCATCACTGATCTATAGTCTGGCTATTACTAGATAGGAACTTCTTACTGCTATGAATGATCCTTCTCTCTCTCTCTCTCTCTCT